GGGGGGGAGGGGTTGGGTGGGGGTGTGTGTGTGTGTTGGGAATCAAACATGCCAAGTAGTACTCAACTCCTAGGTAGGAAAGACTTACTCAACTCCAACTACAGCAGAGAATTGCTTGCAATAAATAAACTTTTCTCATTCAAAAATTCGTCACTATTGTTTCCAGCAACCATACAAGACTCTTATAAACTCCAAACCTCAATCTAGATGCTACCAAGTCCCTATACATTGGAAGACCAAACCCCACATTGAAGCCATCAAAACATTGACTAAAGACAGACACTACAGAGGAAACATGCAGAACTGAACCCATCACCATGCCACGACTATTCCAACGCAATCCTAGTTTCTATGCACCCTTTTCAAAAATGAAATACATTGACTTCTATGCAGTGTTTAAAAAATTGATGATCCAGATCGGAACCGGCTGATTCCCCCTATGGACCACTCGGTTCTCTGACAGAACCACTTGATTATGTCAAAAAACCGAACAGTTCTACTGTAAACAGGCCAACTTTTTTTAAAAAAAAATATTTAATTTTTTTGGGTTAAGGAGAGGTTCTAGCCGGCTCCCCAAAATTACTTTTTACACTTTTCCTTCTTTTTTTTTTATTCTATAATTTAATGCCACCAGATGGTGCACAACCCTCTAATGAACGACGCAACCATCCCCATGTGCTTAGGGTAGCACACGCTTAAGTGCCCTCCACCCCCTCACGTTATTCTATAGTCTCCAAGCCCTGTCACCCTTTGGAATATGTCCGATGTGGGACTAAATTTGAAGCAATAAGAGAGAGAACAAGATTGTTGGATAATACGAGAGAGGAAGAGAAAGGACAGTAAAATGCAACGATGGAGAGCGAGAGATGGATGGGGGCAGTAATTGCTATTGTGCTCTCTTCGTTTTACTTCTTAATTTGAAGCCAGAGGATATTTTTTTGATGCTGTTAACTGTTGTATTAAAAAAGAGTAATAAGTACGAAGCCAAAAGATATTATACTTCTTCGAGAGTCTATTGTCCATTCACTCCCTCGAGCAAACCCTACCAAGGGTTTATTTTAGAACTTCAAATTTTAGGGATATAACCTCTTCAACTCATGGATTAAAATCAATATTCCTAATTGCACCATCCATGCACATGGAAAAAATAATGTCAAGATTGAATAGAAACCGTCCAATTTTTTGAACGTGAGATCTTGGTGTTAGACGAAAAAAGTTCATATAAAGTTGCAACCTTAATATGTAGAATTAAAGATGCACTTCAAAATCCATCGGAAAAGTTTGTTTTAATGTTGGAAAAACCATCTAATTGATCATCTCGACATTGTGATATATGGATATGAAAAAAAAAAGGATTTTGTGTCCTAGAAATAGTGCATCTTACAACACATTATCTAAACCGTCCATTTTCAAGATTTTAATATATGTTTATAGATTTACTTGATTTTAACCATTTTTGGAGTTAAAATTTTATAATTAGATATGAAAATAGATTTTTCGACAATCCTAAGAAATTTTTACACCAAAATTACATGTTATGATAAAATTTGGAGGTGTGCCTTAATTGGATTGTTTAAGGTTGAAACCTTATAAACACCACACCCATGTTAGCAAATTAAAATTTTTTTTTTTTAGAATAATCGTCTATTGGTTTTTAGGTGATTCCTAAAATTTCAAATTGAAAACATCCTCACAAATAGGTGGTCTGGCCAAGGAAGTAGAAGTAAACTATGCTCCCAAGGGAGAATAGTAACATGCCAAATTAAAATGTCACAAGAACATAGTCTTTCTAAATTTTGAATTGATTTAGATGGCAAGATAAATAATTTCAATGTCAAACTGGGATTTTATTGTCACATATTTGTTTATCCATTTAGAAAACTAAGATAGGAAAGATGAATTATTGACTATGAAGTGAAATTAATGGACATCAAATACTCAGACAAGAGATGGGTTCTCAGTATTTACATATTCTTTGTAAAATAATGAAAAACAATAATTCAATGCTATTAATTTTTTGAAAAACCTAAAAAACTAGATTTTAAAGAAATTTTAGCGATTTTTTGAATTTTTTTAAGGCTGAATCCGGCCAATCCTGCCAATTCTCCGATCCGAAATGCCAATCCACTGATTCGACCCGGTTTTTGGAACAAATGGTCCGGGTCACTGATCCGTTTTTTAAAACATTGCTTCTATGATATATTCATTGCAAGACTCTTATTTCCCACATGCACTATTCCAAAGCCAAAAAAAGTCTCATGCATATGCTCCAAGAACCAATTGTTTTCAAAGCAACAACGAAGCGGACTAAGTGTCCACTATTTGCTGACTTGGCAAGTTGACTGCTGAGGAATTCTGCCTATGTTGTGCTGACCTTGAGCTGCATCAGGTGTGCTTCCACATCATCTAGAAAAATTTTGGGTTGGAAAAAGAAGATGTCACATGGATGCTTTTAGCATTTTGAAGGATGCAAATCAAATAGATGTATTGATTTCCTCCTTAGCTTCCAAATATGTAAGGAACATGAAACTAAGGAATGTAAGAGGAAGGAGTGTGGATGTTGGGAAGAGGATTGTAAAAGGAAGGAGAGTGGATGTTGGGAAGAGGGATGGGGCACATGGCATGGAGAGGGGAGACGAACACGTGTGAGGGAGTAGGGAGGGATGAGAGGGAATGAGGGAGTAGGGAGGGATTAGAGGGAAGGGGGAGGATGGGTGAGAGAAGAGAGAGAAGGTGGCATAGGTACAGAAGTAAAAGGAGACGGTAATCAAATGATGGGCGATGGTGTCGGGGGGGTTGGGTTCAGATCTTGAGGGAGGGAAGGGATTGGCTAGGGATCAATTGGGGGATCGAGTGGAGGTCGTCGGATGGGGGGCTGGTTTGGCCTTGGAATGCAATCTTGGATGGCTGCGATGATCGCAAGGCGTCTAGTCACTTTGGTCCAGGAGTCTTGGTCCAGGAGCCCTCCACTTCCAGAGGAAAGGGGGGATGAACTGGGGGTCAAGGACATCAACAAGCATCTGGATGGTGCCGAATGGGAGAAATTTCAACGATTTCCAAGGATGGCTATGAACAACCTGCAAGATTTTCCGATGCTTCTGAGGGTTTCGAGGTTCCAAGCATGAAGGGGAATTGAAGCAACAGTGAGCCAAACCCACTTCCTCCTAAAGGCCCCCAGGTCAGCAGATCAACAGCAGAGGGAGGGTAGCTCCCCTATTGAGAGCTCTGAAGGGCCAGGAGGGCACTGTTTTTGAATGGGAAGCAAAAAAGAATAAACCCATCTGAGAGTTTCTGGCAGCCAAGGTCAAGCTCTTGCCAAATGTGGTGCCCCCATTTCTCAATACCTCAGAAGTCATCACAACGCGGCTGGAGGTTATCGACTAAGGTACAGAGGAGATATTGTTTCGGTCCCAGGGTCCTTTCAGCTGGGATAGTAGTGAGTTTAGGTTAGAAGGAGCGGAGGAAGTCAGTGACGGCAGGGTAGGAGTAGAGAAGGGAGGTGAGGATGAGGGAGTTGGGGGGATAGGGGCTAGCTGGGTGGCACCTGAGGAGGGAGAGGGAGGAAGGCGGGAAGAGTATTTAACCAGTTGGGTGTAGCTGGCGTAGAGCGGTGGGAGGGTCATGCCCACCCATGCCCAAGGCGGCGAGATGCAGGCAGGGCTCGACAATGGCAGGCTCACCACAATCGGGGCTCAACTCTCACTCTCTCAGTTCCTTTATGTTTGAAGTAGACATTCGAACTTGAACAACATGTATGAATTTAGCCAACTTTGGCACAATAGATTTGTTTTTAGGACCACTCAGCAAACAGTATTGGATTTTTTGTCTCTTTATAATATAGGTGTGTATCCAAATCCTATTCTCCAATGCCTCATACCCATGTTTGACACTGGCACAGGTACCCTTGTCCATGCAACATAGGGAGGAACACAATTTGTTATAAATTGCGCATTTTTTTTGTCAGAGTTTTAAAACCATTAGGTAACTAGTAGTATAAGTTATAAACTTACATGAGACGATTATAGGCTTTTACTAATATACATTCTGAAATGATACAGAAGTTTCCGAGCAGGATCGCCACCCTACATGCAAGGTTCCTGCAACTAACTGAGAAGTGATAACACAAACTCTATCATCTTAGCATTAACTCCTTTTTGTAATGCTTGCACTACGCACTCAAGTTTGAATATTATTTTGTAAGATAAAATGTGCTTTGTTAATATTTGAAATTGGCATACGCCCAACTAGTTAGCATGCATGGTGATTTCTAACAACGACGTTAGCCTTAAGTTAAACCCACATTAGCCCCATTCAGTTTTGAAGATATGCCCAAAGGTGGTGCTGATTTCCAATGGTGATGACATTTTTGGAAGACCTAATTGATGACATTTGGTGGAGGGTCCAATTGGGAACTGAACCAAAATATCAAAAAGTATGAAAATAAGTCAAGAGACCACACGAGCACATTCACCTGAACAGCAATTTTTTGCTAAATTGTCCATCCTACTCTCACAAATTGCATAACGGATAAAAAGTTTGACAAATATAGCACTCCATGACCAAAGTGAGGACATAAAGCTTGCAGCATATTTTCTCCCATAATTTTCCTCTTATTTGGGCTATGTTGGAAATGACACAGTCGTTGTACATTGACTTGTGGACTTTGAAAACAATAGACTCCCACTATTTTCTCGTAATTTGTTTTGAATTCTCAGCAAAGCCCTTAGTCTAAACAAAAACATGTACATGATCCAGGGTAGCAAACACCCATCCAAAGCTCCTTCCTCTTCCACTCAACTTCAACTAAAAAAACTGAAGAACTAGAAAAGAAAATTCAGTAAAAAAACATGTTCCATTGGTCATAAGTTCATAACATGCAATATTCTATCATAGCATATCTATTCAGCTTAAAACTCAATTAGGCCATGAAGGTCAATGCCTGTGCATCTATGTTACATGATAAAAAAGACAGAAGGCACATGACCATTTTTGTTCTCTTTCCAAAGGCAGCACATGAGAAATAGTGTCATAAACTTGTGCATTGATTGGCTACAAATAGCAACCAGTCTAGTTAAATCCATCCACTTTCTCCACTATGGGCAATTCATGTTCAATATCCAGGATCAAGTATATATGATCCATTAAAGGGGACGATTCGTACTCTGTGTCCATGTCACTCTATAAAAGCTAAAACGAAAACATATCCAATGAGAGATTGCTATTTTACACTCAGTTGTTGACTTAGAACAATCAATATTGTAGGGGGGAAGTTGAAAGTCAAGCAGTAGAAAAAGGCTAACTGCAATGATAATACATATGGGCTGAGAAGATAAGGAACTAACTAATAGACCTTTGCTTCAGGAAGAAGTCTAATAAACGATATCAATTTGACAGAATCTACAAGGATACCAAGTGTCCATTATCATATAGGTTCCAATACTTACATAATATGCAGCTTCAGAAAATCCATTTAATCAGTTCTACAGTAAGCAAGAGAGTTTACCCAGTTCACTAGTTTGGAGCCATGCTCAATAAATGTCTCATCCGTGGGTCTTTTCCCAGTTAATATCTCCAGTAAGAGGACCCCATAGCTGTATACGTCTCCTTTTTCTGTTGCCCTTCCAGTATCAATATATTCTGCAAACAAGATGCCTGTCACTGTTTCAGAACAATGATCAAGCAGAAACTAAGATAACTTGCAACTCAGAAAAGAAATGAGGTGGCATCAATCTTGACTTTAAACACTAATGCGAACTCATATTGTTTCTTACCGGGAGCTAAATAACCGAATGTCCCTGCAACACATGTTGAAACATGTGTCTGATCAGGTTTCATCAATGTGGCAAGTCCAAAGTCAGAAACCCGGGCCTCCATGTTTTTGTCTAACAAGATGTTGCTGGACTTTATGTCTCTATGAATAATATGTGGAATGCAATCATGATGAAGGTAGGCTATGCCTCGAGCAGCACCCATTGCGATTTTATACCTCAAAGGCCAATGCAGAATCTTTCTCTCAGATACTTTTCCTGCAAAACTTAATAGGAATAACTTCAAAATTGGATTAAAAAGTACAAATCACTTGAACATGTAGTTTTGAAAAGTGGCATGCATTTCGAACGTAGATTAAATGGCAAAGAAGTATGCCCCATATGTACCATGAAGATGCGCATCCAAGCTTCCATTGGGCATAAGCTCACATATCAAAAGATTGAATTGAGGGGCTGTATAGTAGCCATGAAGAGTAACAATATTTCTATGTTTTATGTCTCCCATTGCCTCGAGCTCTCTTTCAAATCCAGTGTCCCTACCAAGGCTACTACGGTTCAGCTTCTTGACTGCAAAAGCAGTAGAATCATCTATGACCAGTTTGTAAACTGTTGCAAAGCCGCCAAACCCGATAATGTCCTTGTTGGACAACTTCATTGTCTTCTTGAGAAAGACCTCCGAGGTGAGTGATTGTATCACTGGAGACCTGAACATTACCATCTTCCCACCTGATCGCGTAGAAAATTTCAGCACTCCCACTTATAACACAGCACAAAGTCCCATAGAGGAGATTTCTTGAATAAATAGAATCAGAGTGCATAAGATTGAAATTATTAAATGTTTAAGTACCTGAGGTACTATCCTCAAAAACCTGCTTTTTTCTGGACCATCTCCAGTATAGGAGGACTGAAATTACAATCTTGGATATAACAAAGGACACACAACAGATTGTGATGTAGAATGCCAATATTCGAGGATTAGCCATGCTTATTATTAGATAGGCAGCTCTCAATAATCTCACAAGCTAGTCATTCCTTGGCAAAAGCCAATGCCAAAAATGCTCTATTCATGGAGTAAAACATGTATGCATGTGCCGATGCCTTCATTCCCTGCCAGTGACAATAACTACACAAATATTTTATAGAAAAAAGTTAATACAGTAAAATTAGATATAGTTTTTTCTCCAGAAAATAAACATGGATTTCAATCCATCAAGCCCTCTTTCTCAACTTCCAGCTCACAAGTTCGAATCCTGTGCTCGCATACCAAACATACTATCAAAATTTAAGAAACATGTAGCAAAAGGTAGTGTACTTCGTAACTGATGTGAAAAAGAAAGAAAAGGCAACCAAAATTTCTGCTTCTATCACAATATATCCACCACCATATTCCTTGCAGACATTAGATAACCATTGGTGAAACACAAACAAAGGGCGAACAGCGTTATTTCACTATTTTAAGATTAGATGAGAAACTATGTTTGCAAAACTTTTTTTAAAAAAAAAAAGAAAAAAAAAAAAAAAAAAAAAAAAAAAAAGAACATTCATCAATCAGTAGACTTCATAAGCTACAAGTTGCAAAGTTTTTGATATAGCTAACAGTTTTAAATAGTAAACAGACCAGGTAATTTAAAACCATGATGGAACTGAATAACTATCTGAATTAAAAATATTGGGGTGTGCTATGAATGCCGAGAAAAATCTGAATGTTGGGTTCAAAAATAAAGCAAGAGAAAGGAGGAGAAAAAGGTTAAGAGAGCAGAACTTACCAGGGAGGGAGGGAATGGGTATTAAAAGAGGAGAGCGAAAGTAAAACCTGTGAGGAAGAGCGGCGAAATGAGGAAAAATGACACCACCTCTTATGCCATGCCACCTACCCATGCATGTGAAAGGACCCAAAGTCCGAGGAAGGATTAAAAGGGGAGAAGTGGGTGGTGGCTCCATCGTAATGTTGCTTGCTTTTCTCCTTTAGAGCAGCCGTGAGAGAGAGAGTGAGAGAGAGAAGGATGGGATGGCGGAGAACGTGTGAAAAAGTTGGGGAAAGTTTTGCTTTCTCTGTTCGTGACAAAGAGTAATCGTCTCTTTTCCATTTTTGACACCCCAACAACCGCCATTAAGGTGACCCTTTTCCCACTAACCCCTTCTTTTTCCCTTTCACGGAATGCATTGCGTACCAAACCAAACCCCTCTCTCTCCCCTCTCTCACCATGGCAGCGCATACCAAGCCAATCAACCTCACTCTGTTTCTCTCTGAACATTACTCCACTGTCTCTTACATTGGCAACGGCGGGGTCCGCGTCGGAATGTATCTAGACCCGCACTCAACCCAACCAGGTTCCCCATGGACCCAGACTGGGTCCAAGTCACTTGGACCCACACCCAATTCCGACTGCTTGAATCCAACTTTTAGAATTAGAATATAAAACTATTTTGGCTTTATTTTAGGGCTTTATCATGCATATAATTTTGATGTAAATGTTGATACGATAATCTCAAAATCTATTTTTATATCTAATTATAAAATTTTAAATTTTAAAAAAGGTTAAAATTAAGTAGATTTATAAACATATGAAAATCTTAAAAATGGACGGATGATGTAGATAATATGTCGTAAAATATATTATTTTTTAGACTTAAAATCTTTTTATTTTTCATAGTTATACATCTCGATGTCGAGATAATCAATCAAAAGGTTTTTCAACATTAAAACTACATTTTCCCATGGATTTTTTAGGGGCATCCGTAGTTCTACATTATAAGGTAGCATCCTTATATAAACTTTTTCCTTATTTCGTTTACATTATTTATTCTTTTCATTTTTTTTTTGTATTTTTACAATTGAAACATATTTTCAAAAGGTTGGAGCCCAATGATCGTAACTAGGGCTGCAGCCCTATGCGCCGTCCGATTTGAATGGCACAATATGTGATTAAAGCCAAAAAAGGCAACCAGGGCACGGTAAAAAATAACACTTCTCAAAAATTCTAGCAATAACTCATAATTTGTAGAGATTTTTCTGAAAAATCCATCTCAAAATAGTGATATTCTAGTGCGGCAAGTTTTTAGCTTAAATTCAATACAAATAACTCCAAACGTTTCTGAAATTCTCAAAGTCTTAATACAAAAAAAGATACCCACTAATAGTTCCATTCAGTAGTTTAAAAAGCGGATTGGTGACCCGGATCGGGCATCTCAAAAACTCATTCGGATCTGCGAATCGACGATTCAAATCGGGAATCAGCTGAATCGGTCGAATTTAACCTTAAAACAAATCCGAAAAAGTTATTAAAATTTATTATAAATGTTGTTTTTTAGGAATTCAATAAGAAATGAGGGTACTCCATTAAGAATTTTCATTTCTTTGCATGAATATGCGAATATTGATATATTCTTTCCCTGCATGAACTACTATTTACCATTTAATTTACATCACACAAAAGAATAAACATAAAATTATCATGGATTAAGTAATCGTCATACATGGACTGCAACAAAGCATACAATTCGTAACATACGATCTAAAAATAAAATGATAGACGACGTCGTTATTCATCTTGGTCACGCTGGTGCCATTGATTGAATTCGTGTGACAATTCATTGACTCATTCTAAAAACAAATCATCCAAATTAGTGGGCACTTGACTATACCTAAATCCCTGAGTGTTAGTGTTTTGTTGTGGTCCTAATCCAAAATCGCGAAGCTTGTCCATCATTCATGCTCATCTACACTATCGTGTTCATCCCTACCCTCTTGTTGTTGGGACTCGATATGCGAATAATTTGGCTGGGATTGGGTGGCCTCAGAATCATCATCTCTCTCATTTTCCCTTAGACCCCCTTTCCACTCTCGCTCATTAAGTGTAATATCACCGACATCTCTGACGAATTGTGGATATGTTGGAGGGCTGCTTCCTCTTTCATGTTGCTCATCACCTTCTTCAAGATCTTCCTCACCGATAGCCTCAAGGAACCCTCTCTTGTGGAACACTGGCTCCTCTTCTTTTATTACCCATTGTTCTGCTATGTCTGTGACAAATATTGTGTCCAAGTCTATCGGCCCATAATCTTCAAGCTTCCTTCTTATTTGTCGCTCTCGGAAGTTTAAGTTGTAATGAACATAGACTAGTTTATGAAGCTTCTCCGAAGATAGTCGACTCCTCCTAATAGTGTGCAACTATTGGAACGTACTCCAATTTTCCTCACAGCCAGTAGCAGAACATGTCTGCAAGAGCACCTTGATTAATATCCTCGTTAGGTGAGGTGCATCACTACCATATATCTCCTACCATTCTACTGGATTAAAATGCAAAAAGCATTGTAAGGTCAAGAACAATTCATAAGATTAAATATATGAATGAACAAAATATTAGTTAGCGGATAACCTGGATCCATCTTAGTTCGAGAGTTCCTTGCAAGTCTAGTTCCGAAGGATCCTATAGCATCTATATACATAACAAGCTAAAACAAAATATTTCGTTTTAGTGCATTATTCCTCACAAATATAACAACTCAATCAAGTTCTTACCCAAATATTAAATAATACCTCTTGTATTGCTACTACCTGGTTTCGATGGCTTCTCTCCAACCTGACAATAATGTATCTGACTCCTTTCATAATCTTGTGGGGATGTTCAGGTGTCAAATAGAAAAATTTTGAGTTGAAGTAATAACCTAGAAAATATATAGATAGAGAAATGTCATTTAAAATTTCACAAAAAAATAATTTAGAATGAAACATTTTAATGATATAAATATATATTTACCTGCATAATGAATTGGACGTTCAAATTTGGTATTCCACCTTCTTTCTATAATCTCGATCACTTTACTAGCAAAACTACACTTCTCCCCAATAGCTGATTTGGCCCTCTCGATACTTTCATAAAGGATGCCCATGGTAGCTTTCTTGTCGGCATCCACCATTTTTAACACCGTGACCAAAGGGGCACTGGCCTCTACGATACTGGAACATCGAGACCAGAACCTTCTATTTGAGACTATGTTGTCCACTTTTAACCCGGTACTGGACTTCGAGAGGTGGTCATTTAACCACTATTCACTGGTAAACAATCTTTTTATTGCACCTTTAGATTCCCGAATGGAGTCCACAGCCAAGTAATCTGTCGCAAAGCGGGTTATGGTAGGCCTGATTATCTCTTTTTTCTTAGACTGTCTCT